TGGGAAAAATTCCCCCAAAAATTCCCAAAAAATTCCCAAAATTCCCCCCAAAAATTCCCAAAATTCCCCCAAAAAATTCCCAAAATTCCCCAAAAAAATTCCCAAAATTCCCATCCCGGTCTCTTCCCATTTTTAACCCTTTCAGCCCCGCATCGCTCCAGCACAACCCCTTTAAAAATTCTTAAAGAACCCCCCAAAAATGCCCAAAAAATGCTAAAAAATCCCCAAAAAAATCCCCCAAAACCCCAAAAAATTCCCCCCAAAATTCCCAAAAAATTCCCAAAAAATTCCCAAAAAATTCCCAAAAAATTCCCAAAAAATTCCCAATAATTTTCAAATCCCCATTCTCAGCCACTTCCCACTTTTAACCCCTTCGTCCCCTCACCTCTCCACAACCACCCCTTAAAAACCCTTCAAAAACCCTTCAAAAATCCCCAAAAACCCTTAAAAAATCCAAAAAAAAATCCCAAAAATTCCCAAAAAGTTCCCAAAAAAATTCCCAAAAATTCCCAAAAAATTCCCATAAAATTCCCATAAAATTCCCAACCACTTCCCACTTTTAACCCCTTCGACACCGCATCGCTCCAACACAACCCCCTTTAAAAACCCTTAAAAAACCCTTAAAAAATCCAAAAAAAATCCAAAAAAATGCCAAAAAAATTCCTAAAAAAATTCCCAAAAAATTCCCAAAAAATTCCCAAAAAATTCCCAAAAAATTCCCATAAAATTCCCAGCCACTTCCCGCTTTTAACCCCTTTGACACCGCATCGCTCCAACACAACCCCCTTTAAAAACCCTTAAAAAACCCTTAAAAAACCCTTAAAAAATTCCAAAAAAATCCAAAAAAATCCAAAAAAAATCCAAAAAAATTGCTAAAAAAATTCCCAAAAAAATCTCAAAAAAATCTCAAAAAATTCCCATAAAATTCCCAGCCACTTCCCGCTTTTAGCTCCTTTGACATCGCATCGCTCCAACACAACCCCCTTTAAAAACCCTTAAAAAAACCTTAAGAAAACCCTTAAAAAACCCTTAATAAACCCTTAAAAATAAAAAAAAAATCCAAAAAAAATCCAAAAAAATTCCAAAAAAAAAATAAAAAAAATCAAAAAAAATTTTAAAAAATCAAAAAAAAAAAATCCAAAAAAATTCCAAAAAAAATCCCCAAAAAATCCCCAAAAAATAAAAAAAAAAAATCCGAAAAAAATTCAAAAAAATCCAAAAAAAAATCCAAAAAAATCCAAAAAAAATCCCCAAAAAATCCCAAAAAAATAAAAAAAATCCAAAAAAATAAAAAAAATAAAAAAAATCCAAAAAATTTTAAAAAAAATCCAAAAAAAATCAAAAAAATCCAAAAAAATTCCAAAAAAATCCGAAAAAAATAAAAAAAAATTTAAAAAAAATCAAAAAAAATCCAAAAAAAATCCCCAAAAAATCCCAAAAAAATAAAAAAAAATCCAAAAAAAAATAAAAAAAACCCAAAAAACCAAGAAAAATAAAAAAAATCCAAAAAAATCCAAAAAAAAAAAAAAAAC